CTCTGGAAAAAGAATCACACTAATTGAGGTTTGAATCCTGGAAAATTTTTAATTATGCTAAACCCAGTCACAGATGGCTGGATTCCAAACAGTGAATATTATTTGAAAATACGGGTTGGTGTAATTTCAATTGTGAGAGAGATTAAGCCTGAATCACTTTTTAGGACTCCACATACACAACTTGTACCTTGAGTTTATTACAAACTCTTAACAAGGAATGCTTTTGGACATTGGAAAATATAATTTTGCTTCGGCCTCAGTTTAAACTATGCAACATCAAAAAGCTGTTTCTCTATATTTCATGCTCCTTAGATCTCTTGTGTATAATGTGCATAATGCTGTGTTCTTGTTGTGAGTTCAAAGCCCAAACTGATGGTAATGCAGCTCCAAGGCTTTATTATTGTGGATATTCTGATACAAGTTATAGACATTTAATGCCAGGATAGCTTTTGCAGTAAGGAAACACTCTTATGTTTAAAAGCCCGTTGTTCCAAAAATAACAATAGTGTCTCGTTTGCTTATCTCCAAGGACAATGTAGATAGTCCTCAACTTGCGACCATAATTGAGCCCAAAATTTCTGCTGTGAAGTGAGACATTTGTTAAGTGAGCTTTACCTCATTGTACAACTTGCCACAGTTAAGTGGACCACTGAAGTTGTTAAGTTAGTGACATGTTGTAAAGTGAATCTGGCTTCCCCATTGCTTGACAGAAGGTTGCAAAAGATGATCGCATGACCCTAGACACTGCAACCATCATAAATATGAGTCAGTTGCCAAGCGTCTGAATTTTGATCTTCATGACCATGGGGATGCTACAAGGGTAGTAAGTGTGAAAAACAGTCATAAGTCACTTTTTTCAGTGCCATTGTAACTTTGAACAGTAACTAAATGGACTGTTGTAAGTTGAGGACTACCTGTACATTGTCTGGATTCACATATGCTTAAACCCCAGGTAAATAAAATAGTCACTCTATTTTATTTTCACATATTTACACTGAAATAACCAAATTATGCCTTATCTTAATGCTCAGAATTCCCCAAATGCTGAAACAATGATTGGATCTCTGAACCATAAACTAACCAATCCCATTTTACCCTAATTTTGTGAAAATCCAGTGACTAGATTAAAAAGAGTCTGATTGTTATCTGGAAAGCTAGTGTTTTTGTGTGTGGTTACCTTTCTTGGAGAGAAACATTTATATATGTACCCTCACTGCCATTCATTTTGGTCCAGGGAAGACTATGTCAAGTGATTGTGTCAGTTAACATCATCATCATACTTTAATCAAGAATAAAACCATGCCCCCCAACACTGGCCAGGCAAGCTACTGTATGCAATATAAACAATAAACCCCACACTCATCAGCACTGATGATGTTACTTAGTCGGGTAATGAAATGTCTGCAAGCAAACAACCAAGGATTCCATCATTACATCAAAAAGATCAGTTGATGTAGTAGGGCAGTGGTGGCGAACCTATGGCACAGGTGCCAGAGGCGGCACTCAGAGCCCTCTCTGTTGGCGTGTGCGCCGTCGCCCCAGTCCTAGGCCTTCAGCTGGGTTTTATAAAACCTTTTCGCTTTAGGCCTCCGCTGCCATGTGCAAAAAAAAGGTTCAGTCAATTTCAACTTCTTGCGGGAAAAAAAAGATCTTGCAATGTTGGAATTGATTGATTGAACTTTTTAGTCCCACCCAGTCTGCCGTTACCACTGCAGCCATGCCCACCCAATGGGCCACACCCACCCATTTGGCCACACCCAGCCAATGGGACACACCCACCCAGTACCCGATGATGCATAAGTGGGTTTTGGGTTGCAGTTTGGGCACTCGGTCTCTAAAAGGTTTGCCATCACTGTAGTAGGGGTTTGTCGTCATCAAGCAAATAATCACATTGTCCATTCTGGACAAAGCTACATGATATAGTACACATGCACATTATGCTTTTAGCAACAGTTATTGAACATCACAGTCAGGGCAAAAACTGTAGAAGAGCTTGCTTTTAACCCTTTCCCCCACTCTACACATTTAAATATATGTTTAACTTGCATATCTCATTCCAGTTGGGGAAGGGAACAATTTTTTTTTTTAAAAAAAGTTAAGCACAATAAGTAATGCCAGGGTGCTTTAAGAAAAGAGAACTGGAGTCCATTTTGAAACTCTGATACTGGTTGCTCTTGGAGAGCCCAATTAAGACACAGTAAGTTTGCATTTATCAAGTTTCAGTATTAGTATACTTCATGAATGTCATGAAGTATAATTCAGACATTTCCAATTTGAGATTTAAATCTTGCTGTTCACATTACATTTTCTTATAAAACCAGAGAATAATTCTAATGTTCGATTGTTGTCACCAAAGTGTATTATGATATTGAGAGTCTGAAAGACATTTAGGACTTACTGATTGATAATTTATGCTCATTGCAGATTTAAACTTCTGTTTAGCATACTATTTTCCAAATCAAGACAGGTCTTTTTTTTGGTAGGCCTTGATTACTGTATGAATTACACACATTGCAGCTATCGTCTTAAGAAGCATCTGCTCTGGTTATATATGCTTGCATTTTCAGGTTTTCTTTCAGATTTATAATATCATATACTATTTTATTTAATAATGTAATTAAAACAATGCAGGCCTCTACTAATAGTGTGTCTTTTTTATTTTTGTCAATGTAGTACTTAAAGTATATCTAATAATAACTAACCCCAAACACAAAATTCCACATTGTAAGCAACTGAAATCAAACTAAATTAAAAAAAAAACACAGGAAAATGAAACTCATATTTTAGTATGTGTTTATTATCAGTTTCCCAGTCAGTACATATAAATCAGGCACAGCTCTGAAGTAGCCTGTGATAAAGTTAATTCACATGCATTTTTTGTTTGTTTTAAAAAACAATTTTAATTGTACTGTTATCAATAGCATCACCTATAGCATAAAATTAAGATTCTCTTCTCCCTCTGTCTTAAAAATGTAGCCAGTCACATATAAGATGGATACATAAATTATGTTGCCGTATATGATAGGTACAAGTTATCCTTGATAGAAAGACACAGTATGTAATTGCTGTCAAGTAATTAAAAATCTCCATGTCACATTATGTATCTTGGAGGGAAACTCTCTACCTTTAGAGTTGTTAGCACTGTAATTATCCTTTCTGTAGTAGTTGTCGGTGACAATTTTGAACAATGTGCAAATTGTCCAAATACTAGATTGGCACCACTGGACACATGCATTTTCAGTAGCCTGTGAAGATATTCTGAGTTCTTTGAACTTAGTTGGGGAAACCCATTTGTTTATATGCTGCCAAGACAGTGCTCGCATATTGCTTTCACTTCCAACTATGCCTAAGTATAAAAAGGTAAGCTAACTCATTTGGGAACATTTAGCGTAACCCAAGAAAATGTAACTCGTTAACTTTAAAAGGGTTGCTTTTGGCAAAAATTGAAATCAGACCTGTAAGAGGCTTTGATTCTTCAATTTGACATACTGTACTTTGATTTCCTTCCTTCAGTGCCTCTTATTTCCTTGGAGTCCCTCCTGTCAAAAATGTTATTTCTTTTACTTTCTCTCTCCAACAGTAGATAACAAGAATCGGATTCTGTTTCAGAAAAGCCCACAAGATCTTCATTACCTGAGGGAATGATATGACAGTATCTCCTGCCCGTGATTGCTCATACAAATGGTGACTAGACTGGAAAAGAAATCTTAACACTGGTAATCGGAAATTGCTGCTGAGACAAAGGACAGACTACCTGGCACTATTTTAACATCCAACATATTGTCATTGCTCATCTCCTGGTGGCTAAGATAAAATGAGAGCCAGCAATTCTCAGGGCAGATACGTCAACAACTGTTCTACTTCAAGGACATGAAGAGCAGGATAAAAAGCAGTGGGAAAGGCAGAAAGAACAGCAGTGGCTATGAGAAGGAAAATACACTCTCACAGTGAAAGAGGGCAATTGGCAGATTAATCTGGTTTCAGTCTAGTTTGCAAGGAAGAATCTTAACAAATTAGATTGAGTATCTTAAAAATTTCTGCTGAGTTAAGGCCTGACTAGCAGTCCTGTCAAGCTGTGTGAAGCTGGGGACTGCTCTTTAGTCTTGATTTGGGGAACCTGAAACTCACCTCACTTTACCCTTATAGAACTGGCCCCTTACAAGAGCCAAATGTGTGCAAGTAACAATGGAAGTTATGAACACTTCCTAATTTCATGATATTACAGTTCTTTCGTGGATGGAGAAAGCAAGACATTACTTGGAAGAAACTATACTGTCATCTTTTCAACATTACCTGCATATTAGTGTAGCAAATCCAGCCCAAACCAATATTCCCTGGTATTGTTGATTCCCTCACATAGTAAGAAAAATGTATTTTTGAATATGTCAGCATTTGCCATACAAATACATTATCCGGAAGGTTAATTTTGCCTTTGCTTTTATTCCCCCTTTGGGGAAAAAAAAATCAGTGCCAAAGTCAGAAGTTGGCTTGCAAAGAACATAAAAAAGGACTAATCCTTAATAACAGAAACCTATAAAAACAAACACAAAAATTATGTTCTTTGGATAGCCAAAGATATAAAACATAAGACTAAAACAATAGCAAACCAAATAATATATGCAATAGAACAAAAAAAGTCATTTGTTCTAAATAATACCTGAGGCCACCAAAACAGGAGTTGATGAATTCATGTCAGTTCTTTATGCAAAAGAGCGAGTGACAAGTGGTAATGCTGTGCATGGATTTTGTATCACAAGATACCAAACAGGTTCTATCAAAAAGGATGATGGATGATACAGTACCAAGCCGACAGTAAGTTCTGTGCAGAGGCCTCTTCAGAGGACACTAAAAATTCACTCTTCTGTCAGCATTGCATGTAATTCAGCACCTTCTTTCACGGCAACCCCATTTCTCTGAGGTTAGTTTAGCATTGTACACCATGTGTCAAGTGTTCACTTTACTCGTACAGTGTACTGGTCTTATTATCTGCCCTAATAAAAACAAAAAAAGGAAGACTGAACCACCCTATCAGAGATGAACAAAACTGCCCCAAAATTAGGGCAGAGGAAAAGGAAACAGGACTCATAGCTTAATTGCAAACCCATGACAAGCCAAATCCTAATTTCACATCTCCCCAATGTAAGAAAACAAAGTTTGGGGAGGCCACTTGCAGCAGTGACAGAAAATGAGCAGGAAATCAATAGACCTCTGACCCCTAGCTCTTTGGATGGAAGATCTGGGTACCATTCTGGGTCTGCAACGGAGGAAGACGTAATATTGGAAGAAGAAACGCTGCCAGTCAAGCACACAGGATAATCCTTGAAGAGCACCTGGACGGCCAGCAGGAATTTTCTTCAGCTGATCTGTTTTCAACACCTTTTGAACACCTGACCAGTTTGCTAGGAAAGCAATCTTATTCCCAGCAGTCTATGGGCCTTCAGAGTTATTATTGGGTTTCACTATAGCATCGCAGGTGGTTTCTTCTCTACAATCTGAGTGCTAGGCTGGAAATTCGTTGCTAGGCTGTCGCCGGAAATCATCATTAACCGCAAGATAGGTGGCTCGCATACTTGGAGAATACTAGACAGAGGAGATAAAATGGGACAGAAGTTATACATTGTGAGTTCAACAATGAGCTTAGGATTTTACTGATAGAAACTACAGAAAAACTACTAAGATTCCTTCTAAAGTCTGATAGATGAAGTTCTAGCTCTACGGAACCAACCAGAAATAAATGTGCTGATGATTTATACCATCAGGAACAGAAGAACAAGCTTGACCATTAGCAGAGGTGGAGTGGGATGAAATGACAACAGAAAGGTAACTAGAAAAAAAAACAAAAAAACGTCGGCAAGGCCTAAAGATCCTGTGATTCCAATGAGAAATTAGGACAGGCATCCAGCTGCCATTCTACTGAGACACAACAGTAGTGGAGAAAAGGAGAATCTTTTACAGGAAAGTTGTGAATTGATTACACAAAAACCAACAGCAAAGTACACATTAGAACAGTATTGAGCTTTGTACCTTTTAAAATTCAACAGAAAGTGTAAAAAAGTTTCTTTTCCATCAGAGGTACAGAATACAGAAGGAACCTTGGAAGTCTTCTAGTCTAACCACCTGCCCAAGCAGGAGACCCTATTACACCATTCTGACCAAACAGCCATCCAATCTCTTCTTAAAAACTTCCAGCAATGGAGCACCCACAATGTCTGAAGGCAAGCCATGAAGGAGTAGAGTAGAGTAGAATAGAAACAGAGCAACAGAATTGGAAGGAATCTTGGAGGTCTTCTAGTCCAACCCCCTGCTCAAGCAGGAGTCCCTATACCAGTGATGGCGAACCTTTTAGAGACCAAGTGCCCAAACTGCAACCCAAAACCCACTTATGCATCGTCGGGTGCCAGGTGGGTGTGGCCCAGTGGGTGGGCGTGGCTGCGGCGGAAACAGCAGACTGGGTGGGACTAAAAAGTTCAATCAATCAATTCCAACTTTGCAAGATCTTTTTTTTTCCGGCGAGAAGTTGAATTGACTGATTGATTGAACCTTTTTTTTTGTACATGGCGGTGGAGGCCTAAAACGAAAAGGTTTTATAAAACCTAGCTGAAGGTCTAGGACTGGGGCAACGGTGCGCGTGCCCACAGAGAGGGCTCTGAGTGCCACCTCTGGCACCTGTGCCATAGGTTCGCCACCACTGCCCTATACCATTTCAGATCATCTTCAGTCCCATTAGCAAGAAAAGGTTCCTTAAAAGGCTTTAGAGAAGATGATAGAATTAAGTTAGGTTCTTTTCCTATTTGCCATAAGTGAACAATGGAAAATTTAGAAAATAACCAAGATACAATTTATCAAAGAGTCTTTTTTCAATTGTTAGAATTGGATATCACAGTTTAAGTACATAAAATGGGCAATGCAACCTAAAATGTTTCATGGGAAATACCATAAGGAGTTTTGTGATCTGTGAGGTTCCTTTTAGCATTCATCTGAATGGAATTTTCTTTGCAATATGTCAGATGATTTTCAGATTTGAATTCTGCCAAAATCTGAACAGACTTGGATGAGAAGAGGGCTGAGATGATGTTGGGAACTATATCCCCAAAAGTAGGAGATGCCTAGGATATTAAATACAATTAATATGCTTATCCTCCATATAATTAATGACGATGCCATTTTGAAGACTAAAATGCAATTTACTTCCCTTTTATTACAAACCTATGTATTAAATTTGCAAAGCAGAGAATCCAGCACTTTTTAAACAGTTCAAGCACAGGAAATGTGTGGTTCTTAGTCATTTTTTTTTCTGAAGAAGACATATCCTTTTGAAATCAGCAAAGATTTATTAGTTTACCAGCAGCCAGTAAGTTGGAATCTGCCAGGAACTAAGCACAGGACTATCTATGTATGCTCAGTTCAAACACATCAAAAGTATAGCTAGTTCTAAATTCAATTTCAGACATTCCTATAAAAAGATAAAAGTAAGCATATACAGTTAATCCTCAACTTACGTTTAGTAACGGTTCCTTTAGTGACTGTTCAAAGTTACAACGGCACTGAAAACAGTGACTTATGACCATTTTTCAGTTACAACTTTGCAGCCTCTCCATGATCACCTGACCAAAATTCAGATGCTTGGCAACTGGTTTATATTTATGACTGTTGCTGTGTCCCAAGGTCATGTGATCACTTTTTGCGACCTTCTGACAAGCAAAGTGAATGGGGAAGCCAGATTCACTTAACAACCAGGTTACTAACTTATGAACTGCAGTGATTCACTTAACAACTGAGGCAAGAAAGGTCATAAAATGGGGCAAAACTCACTTAACAACACAAATTTTGAACTCAATTGTGGTCGCAAGTCGAGGACAACCTGTATGAGTTTTCTATTCACTGGACAGGTGAGATTGCCATTCTTTTTTTGCACTCAGCAAACAGTGTGGTTGATTGATCTGAATAATTAGAGAATAATAATAATAATAATAATAATAATAATAATAATAGTAGTAGTAGTAGTAGTAGTAGTAGTAGTAGTAGTAGTAGTAGTAAAGTTGGAAGGGACCTTGGAGGCAGGAAACCCTATACCATTTCGGACAAATGGCTGTCCAGTCTCTTCTTAAAAACTTCCAGTGTTGGAGCATTCACCGCTTCTGGAGGCAGGTTGTTCCATTGGTTAATTGTTCTAACTGTCAGGAAGTTTCTCCTTAGTTCTAAGTTGCTTCTCTCCTTGACAGATTAGTCTGATTAAGTTATAAGCAAGATACTGTCTCTCAAGCTAGTCATCTCTCGGGGAAGCAATGATAATAAAATGGGAAGTGGGAGAGAGGACATTCGCCTCAAGAAATTTGGAGGAAGATGGTATGTAAATACAATTAATTAGAATATCCAATTCTTCCCTAATCTAAGGCCACTAGCTGCTGTTAAGTAGCAAATAGCCACTGACTAAGCAGTGAATGAACCCTTAATTTTTCCACTTTGTCCATCTTGGAGAAATTTTTTCCAAAATATTTCTTGTAGATTTTAAAAAAATACTCATTAATCCAGCATTAGGGCCGGGTGATGGTTTCCTTGCATTTTGTTGAGATTTGTTAAGTTTTCCCTCTACATCATGCTTTCTAGTTTGTGAGCTCAAGCTAGAGACAATCCTGTTTATCCAGTGTTGTAGTCGCCATTTCAGGGAATTGTTTTTGAAATGATATGGTCTTCAGCTCCTGGTTTTTTTGGTTTGCAGTCAATTCTAATGAAATCACCCACCCCCTGCATTTATTTATCAGCATAATAGTCTATTACTATCTAGAAGATCTCTAAGGAGTAGAGGTAAGAGTTGGGTTTATTAATACAGACCACACACAAAGTGATAGACAAATGGGAAGAGACTGGACAGCCATTTGTCCGAAATGGTATAGGGTTACCTGCCTGAGCAGGGGGTTGGACTTGATGACCTCCAAGGTCCCTTCCAACATTATTATTATTATTATTATTATTATTATTATTATTATTATTATTATTATTATTATTATTATTATTATTATTATTATTATTATTATACAAATTTCTGGCATGCTGGAAATATAGCACTAAGGAACAACTGTGTGCCTATATACACACACCTTCTCTAATTGTACCAATGACTCATAATAAAGTTAGAGCACCTTTCCCTAAATCTGTGCCCTCCAAATGAGTTGGAATTACAGTCTGTAGAAATCCCTTCCCCCCCCCCCATTGCTGTACAGAATGGGACAACTCGCCACAGTTGCTGATTCGCTGCTGGTTTGCCATGGCCAACTCACCACGGCCTGCTCGCCATGGGACAACTTGCCGTGGTCGACTTGCCATGGGACAATTCAACGGTTTTATTTATTTAAAATAATAATAATGATTTTTTTTTGTCATTCTCATTTCATTTTGTCCCCTCCTTTTGCATCCTTTCTTTAATGATTCTCTTCCACCATTTCTTTAATATTATGTAACTTTTGCCTTGAGACAAATTGGCCATGGTGAATTGTTCCGTGGCAAGTTGGCTGTAGCAAGTTGTCTTAGATCCTTGCTGTAGCTTCAGTATATCTGGGGCACATTAGGTTAGAGAATGCAGGCCTGGAAAATATAATTGGTATATATGAGTGCAATTATTTATTATTAGAAAGTTGTGTCTTTCCAGTCACAGCTTTAAGAAAAATTATTCACAGACTACTTTTCTGGAATGGAATAAAGCTTGAAAGTGTTTCCTTAAGGCATTTAAATCTTATTGAAATTGGACTACTTGCTATATGGAGAAGAGCTACATTTAATTTTGCCATCAGCTTTGAGGTTTTTGCAATAGCAAATATCTGCAACATTAAAGCCTCCCAAACTGGGAGATTAAGATTAAAGCCTCCCAAACTGGCACAGCCCCAACTTTTAAATGCTCAAATTAGAAATAGTTCCTTGAATATTCAAACAACTGTTAGGCTTGAAAATGGATTGTGGCAGCTTGTAATACAAATATCAACTAGTCTTCCTGATCAATCATGAAGCTGGCAACATTTTTGCATATGCTTTCCATCTTTCAGGTAGATTGATATTAATTTTAATAGTTCATATCACAAGGCATTTGACTCCATGAAACATATACATTTCTTAGAATATTCTGCATATAAAAAACAGGGTTGCGTTTAAACATGGATTTAATTTGCATTTTTCTAACATCACAACATAAACCTGAGTCTGCTTACACATCAGATGAGAATCCAGTGTCACATGACTATGCAGAATGAAAGAATTCAGCTGTGACATTAGAAAGAGGCAGCTGATATTCTGTTTACATCCTAATGACTGAACTGAAATGTACCCACTTCTCTGTTTTATAAGGCATGCAAAGTTCATCCATACAGAATGATGGCAAATGGCTTAGGATTTGTCTATCTAGGGCAGAGGTAGGCAACCTTGGCTCTTTTATGACTCGTGGACTTCAACTCGTGGACTTCAACTCCCAGAATTCTGGGAGTTGAAGTCCACGAGTCATAAAAGAGCCAAGGTTGCCTACCCCTGATCTAGGGAATCGCTTGTCTCTGGAAAACTGGTTCCATTAATATATCTGCAGCTTCAGCTTCCTG